GACCTTTTTATTCAAATGTCATTTTAATTGTTAATAGTATTTATTCATTTTATTCTTTGGCCAGGGCGACTTAATTTATACTGTTAATTTATATTATTTTAAGGAAGTTTATTTATGTTTGTGAGCCGCCCCGAGGCTTCGGCGAATGGGGCGGCATAGAAGTTTCCTAAACAAACGAACAAACAAACAAACACCAGGCTAAATAAATAAATAAATAAATACCAGTCTACTTGATAGATTTCCTGTGCTTCCAGGAAGCTCTAGAATTAGGGAAAAAGGCAGAGGTCAGTGATGAGAAACATTAAGGGCACAATCCAAGACAGGAAAAAGTCTTATAACTCCCAGCATTCCTCACCTAGTGTGCCCCTTAAAAGGTCCAAGTCCTACCTAGCACCTCTGTTGATGCATTTTGTCTGAGGGAACAACCATATTTGCTGTTATTACTTCAGCTTATTCTCTCTTCCTCTTTCTCTGTGTATGTGTGTTGGGGTTGGGATTCTGTTTTGTTTTGTTTTGTTTTGTTTTGTTTTGTTTTGTTTGTTTGTTTGTTTGTTTCCTTTTTTTGCCTAACTTACTCCTCAAGGACACACTGCGCGACTGCAGCCATGATGACCGGAGTTGCCTCAGCAACCTGCAGTTCATCTCACCACTCTACTTTGTCAGCTTCGTGCTCACAGCTCAGTTTGTCCTCATCAATGTAGTAGTGGCTGTGCTCATGAAACACCTAGATGACAGCAACAAGGAAGCGCAAGAAGATGCAGAAATGGATGCCGAGATTGAGCTTGAAATGGCACATGGGCTCTGTCCTCGTGGTTCTAGCTCACTGAACCCTGGACAAGATGGAGGAGGTGGGAGAATGGACCCTGAAGGACACCTGTGCATGACATGTTACTCTCCTGCACAGGTAGGTGTAGGTTTTTTGCCTTCAAGAGAGTCTTTGGCACATTGAAGTGGGGAGAAGAAGGGCAGCATAGGTAGGGCCTGATGATGGCAATCCACCTGTTTTAACAACACATGACTAGCTTGAATGCCACACTAGACTGGATGTTCTGGTACCTTGGCAGAGTCACATGAAGTCAGAACCTGGAACAGCAAGGGGTACTCTGCAGGAATGAGGTCAGGGCTCTGTGATAACTTAAAGAGTAGAATGCAAAGGGATACTATGATGAGGCAGGATTAAGATGCCTTAGTGGAGGTACATAAGAAAAGCACAGGGGGTTCTGCAGGACAAAGGAACACTTGCAAAGCTGGATAGGAAGCATTCACAATGACTCTCTGCACATTGTCAGTTAGCCATGTTAGTCCTTCCTTTTTGCATCCTCATATAGGAACACATTCTTCAGCCTTACCCCTGTAAGATCACACACCCCTGATAGGTTTCTGGATATTAATGCCACATGCAAAGTTAACTGTATGAATGCAGGTGGCAGAAGATGAAACCAATTCACACAGAAAACACTGAAACAAACAAGAACATGGAGTTCTCAAAATAATTTCTCCCATCCTCCCCCCTTTCTTGTCCCCTAGGAGAACTTATGGCTGGACAGTGTCTCTTTAATTATTAAGGACTCCTTCGACGGGGAGTTAATGATCATCGATAACCTATCGGGCTCCGTCTTCCATCATTACTCCTCGCCGGCCATGTGCGAGAAGTGTAACCATGACAAGCAAGAGGTAACCTGCGTGCGAGGATATCGGAGGGGGACCCCCCATGTGTGAGACCACATCCACACACATGCTGTAGGCACTTGAGATCTCCCTTGGATGGTCTCCTGGTTGAGTTAGACAGAAGCCTTGAGTTTTGATATCAACGTGCATCCCCAAAGTGATTTCTTTCACAGTAGGAAAGACATAATTGGTTGGAAGAATGAGTAGAAAAACAGCTGGAGCAACAAGAATGATAGAAAAGAATGTGGAGTTATGTGGAGAAAGGGGGAATCATCATTATGGAGACCCAGTGTTAGCTCCTCAGGAGAGAAGGTGTTCAGTTTTGCACTTTGAAGAGAGAAGATTGTGGGAAGAGTACAATGTATTGTCTCATAGCTTTCAAGGTTCAGCTATCATTTCAGCAATGCATTGGAATCATGTGCCTAGTTATAAGCACAGCTTTTCTTAATGCCTATTGCAGTTGATTATATTGAGGTGCTTTGTTCAGCATGTGCTTAAGTGGTTACTGGTATCTACACAGCCAAGCTTCTAAAACAAGTAGTTTGAATTAAAATAAATTTTAATCTTGTATTTGAATGATGTCGCATGCCATCTGGCTCTGTCTAGCTGTGAATGCTTCAGGTGTTCTGTATGATGGAAGTTGCTAATGGAAGGCATAGGAACTGACTACTATGGGAGAAATTGGATTTCTAATCCAGATGCTAGTGTTTGTTGTATGTAACTGCAGGTCAGGGAGAGGTCAAGAACGCATGTCATTCTTGCATATCACAAGTAACACAACCATTCATTGTCATCCCTCTCCAATTCATTTAAATGTTTTTAATTGTATGGCTTTCTAAGAGTCAGAGAAGTCCACTATAATGTTCACAAGTCAAGATTTTCATTTGTCAATTGCTGACATGTCTATCCAGGAAGAAGACTAGATTTGCCTCATGTTCCTGAGCAAGGGTCCTAGAGTTTGTAATTTGTATTTTTTTAAAAAAAACACACACACATAACACTTTTCTTAGATCATATTGGTTCTTGTACTCATTATAATTGGCAGCTGAGACATTTTGTTTTGTATTTTTTTAAAAAAATTGCAACAGCAACTTATAGACATTGTAATCATATATACTGTAAGCAGTTGTTTACAGAAAACCATAAAGTTTACTGCCCTAAGTCTAAATTAATAGTTAATAAGCCATTTGTTATTTCATCTTCATTAATCACATTATTGGTCAATGCAGTGATGCTAGTATAAAAAGCTGCAGGGAATCACTCAAAACATGAATTTTAGTCTATGTACTGTGGAGGACTCATAATACTTATGGCCAAAAAAATAATGTGCATCATATTATGGAGATTTACACCCATTTTCAAACAAAGATGTCATCTCCATGTAACGTACAGAGGACCACTTATCTATGCCCAACATTATGTGGCTTGCACACAAATATTACCATGACATTTCAAACTGAAGGTTGGCTTGAATTGTACAAACAGCCCAAACAGTTGCTTATGGTGACAGTATTTTTTAAAGCAGTGTACCATCCATGAAACAAAAAAGCCTCCTAGGACATCCAGGTAGATTTCAATATGCTATAGAGTACCCAATGAACAAATGTATCATAATCTTTATTTAACATCAATCAAGTAAATGTCATTCATCATTCTGATAAAGGGTCACCCAGTATCATTAAGTGATCTTATCTATGCTAAGCCATCATTGGTTCTCTCTTATGATTAATTAAGACATAACACATTTTCTCATCTCACTAAGCTCTTTGCTTTTTTCATGGCATTACTCTAATTTCATTATCTGTCTTTGTGAGTTTTGCATACGTGCTGTAGCAATGCACAGAGTAGTTAATTGGCGTTGTATGGTTTGTCACTACATGCTAGAGACTAGTAGCCTGAAGCATAATGTTTTTCTCTTTATAATTAGGTGCTTCTTTTGTGCTGGATTTCAGTTGAAAGGGTTGCCACCTTTTGCAAAGCAACAGTAAAACAAAGGTTAACTGTTCTAGCATTTGTAATCCCAGGGACTTTAAAAAGTTATCAACCAGGCAGCATTGTTTTACAGCATTTTGTAGATACAGGGTTAGATCCAGAATCTGCCTTCCACAAAAGGAGGACTACAATTGCAGAATGTGCCTCTGTCCAATTTTAGGACATCCTCCCTCACCCAGTTCAGCAAGGCCCCTTACTTCTCGGTGTAGCTTGTTCAGAGGACTGGAGAAGGGGGCAATGGAGTCCACTTTTGCTGGCCTAGTTGCACATACCCAAATCTGGATCCAACCCATAGTATCCACAATCCCAGACAGGCAGAGTTAAGGGTGTTTTCATATGAACTTTGGTTATGAGTGTGATAGTTGACGAAACACATGAGTGGTTCGTACAAAGATTCTGTTTTCTTTATGTGTGTAGATATTGTGACTGATAGCTGTGTTTTATGTTAATGTGGTGTAACTGTGGCTTTTCTTTCTTTTCCTTTTTAAATGTTTAGATCACTGGTGGTGGTTGTGTTTGGCATACATTATATATTACATTGGACACACTCCAGCATACCCAATGAGCCTGCGTAAATCCCATTAAGCTCAAGGGGATTAAGCACATGTAGCTATGCACTGGATTGTGCCTGCAGTACCCTGATCAGTAGTTCCGTAGGTAGCTTCCATGGAAGCACTGTGGTGTTAGTATTATGGAGAATGCAGTCCTTGTGCTGGATTACTTCATGACTGTGGATTACCCTTTCGCAAGTCTATTTCAGGCATATCTTCCATTCATTCCAAATGAACTATCAGTCTGAAGGAGTCCTAACATATGGCATTGCCTCTGATTCTATTATACTTCCTGTCCAAAGCCATCAGCTCTCCATGTCATCTCCTGTCACTCTTCACATGCACCACATGCATTCTCAGTTCTGCACAAACACAAGAAAGCGAGGACCTTCCTTGCCTGAGGAGCCTTCCAAAGTACCATAATGTAGATAAAATGCAACCAGAAAAGATCAAACACCAGAATAGATTAGTATAAATCCTCTAGAGAATAGAACTGTGAAGCAGGCACCATAGGAAGGGGAGAATAGCACCCTGGATCCCAGGAAAAGGAAAAAATGAATCCAAGGATTGAAGAGGAAAAACTAATCCAAGTAATGATGTGGGGCAAGATGGAGATAGACTGCAGGATGTAAACTTATGGTGAGAAGGAAAACAAGATCTAAATACATAATAGCATAGACTTGCAGAGGAAGACTACTTTGCTAAGTGGGGCAAAAAGAATGGGAAGAGTAAGGGGGAAATGGAGAGAGAAGCAGAATGATAGCAAAGTTTAGGATTTCTACACCGCATCCCTTTCAAAGTATGCTACAATTAGAATAAAAAGACATGGGTAGCCCAGAAAGAAATAGATAGAAAACTTCAAAGCAAAAGGTGTTCAGTTGCATGATTTTCATGTGGATTGCATAAAGCATGGTTGCTGTGGCCGGAAGGAAGCCATCACCATCTTCATCCTGTTTGACTGGGGCAGCTTCTGCTAACCATAGACAAGTGTGTCTTTTCCTCATCTGCCTCCAGGGTAAACAACATTATCCTCTGCTTGGAGAATCCCTCTGCCTCTCTACCACCCATGCAGACTCAGTTACATCCAGAGTTATGGAGCCAGAATCCTCCGGGATGAGTGAAAGACCTTCTATCTACCTTCCTACCACAGAAGACGTTGATAGTGAATGTGTCAACTGAAGCAGTTTATGAGAAATGCTAGACTCTCATTCTTGTTCCCTTGCCTCAATATATATACATATATATATGTATGTATGTATGTGTGTGTATATATATATTTCACTGTATGCAGAATTGGGTTAGGATTCTGCAAAACTCATGTGTGTTCTTCCTCCTTGTCTTCAGCTCCTTCCTTAAAGCAGTGTGACTGACTGAGCAACAGGATCAAACTATGTTGTAGACAGCTTGATTTCTTTCCCCTTTGTTGCAGGTCCAGCTGGCTGAAATGGAAGCCTTATCACTCAACTCTGATAAATCTTCTGTCCTGCTAGGGGATGATGCAGATAACCACAGTGTTGATCAGCCAAGCCCTAAAGAAACTAAGGTAACACATTCTGAGGCTTTATTATATTCACCAACTTCTTTTGTACAAACTGCCTTCCCAGGAATAAAGATAGATAAAGTTTTCCCCAGGAAGGAATATTCTGTTGGGTGGTGGCAGGGAGGAATTTTTTTGTTTGTTTTTGGTTGTTGTTGTTTGCTGTGAATACTTAGGCAGCACAAGTTGAGTATTTCCATCGTTCATCATGCTGTCTGACACAGACTTCTTCACAGAGCATAAGGTCTATGTGTGCATGTATATTTTCTTTCCTTCTTTTTTGCCATATTCGTTCCAATGAAAGAATTCCAGTACATGCACTTGAAAATGTTCAAAGCAAACTGCCCAGAGCAAGAGCTCTGCTGGAGTTGTGATGCATACGTGCACCTACCACCCTAAACCTAAGAAATAGGAATGCATCAAATTTGGCCAAAGCCTGGACTGGACTGGATCCATCTGGTTCATTTCTGGTGCCTCCTAGGGTGAAGCGAGCCTCCCTCTAAAGGGGCCAGAACCGCAGTTGGACCCTACACGAAGTGCTGTTCATGATTTGGCTTTGGAAAGGCATATGTGTATTTCTCCAGAAAAAGTACTGTTGCTTTAGTTTATCTTTATGATCTGCAGGAAGGAAGTAGGCAGAGTAACTGATTTGTGGGAGGGCAAGGATGCAGCCACTCTTCTAACACCACCAGTCTTCACTGTGAAAAAAACTTGCTTGTAACTCATCAACACTCCCTTGGCCCTGCACCTTTGGTCCAAGCACAATCCAGTCATTTCCTGAAACATCCATTTGGGATCCAGGTCAAATTTAGTGGTTGACACATAGCTCTACTAGCAACTAATGGGCAGCATCATAGCACCTTTTTTCAAGCTAAAAATTCTGTTCCCTGCTTTCTCTTTCTGAAAGGGGCAAACTATTGAGACTCTTCCCTGTAACAAGATACACCAGCAGTTCTCTTGAGCTTTAGCTTTGCATTTTGGGAGTTGAGAGAGACTATGATGGGAAGCCTCCATCCCAACCACCTTCTCAGTGCACTGAAATCTAAATGGAATAATTGTAATTGTAAGACCATCTGCTTCTACTTGTGGTCACCCATCAGGCTGCAGCCCTGTGCCTTTCCAGCTTAGCAAAGTGTGCTAGCTCAGTATATAGTGATGCAGGCATAGCTGGCCATGGACCCATCTAAACTCTTCCTTCACCAGAAGGTGGCATCTTCCCTCCCTTGCGGTGGATAGCTGCAGTAGCACCCAGAGGAACACAAGTGAATGTTGTATGTGTGGGCAGAGAAAGGAGGGTGAGTGGCGCACCAGTGGAAGGCTTCTGTGATATATCTAGGTGCAAAAGACATTCTCTCCTGGGATATGGGTGTGATTTGCTTTTTAACCCATGGGTCATAGTCAGAGCACCAGAGATGTTAAAGGCAAATTCCCAAACAGGGAGATATAAAGTAGGGAGATATACTTTTGATTGGAAACTTTCACAGAAAGTTGCTAGTGTTTGTTTTGCTGCCTTCTGGTCCCAGGCTCAATGGAAAATACTGCATCCTTCTGTTGCAAAGGCCCCTGGCAACCGAGCTTTATTGATCTATTTAATCCATTCATATCCAGTCTTTCTCACATCATGGCACTCAAAGCTGCATATATGGGGTTCCTAGGCCATCTTTATCCTGGTACTGACTCGACCTAGACCTGTTTGGCTTCAACCAGATGTGAACATCACAGACCCTCTGACATGTGCATCCTAAACATATTTCTATACACTTGAATCCTGAAAAATTACATATTATTCAAGCAGTGGATGAAGCCTTGGTTGTATTCCCCTTTATTTCTCTTTTTTGTGGATATACATGCAATTTCATAAGAAATACTTCTTTATTCTGACCAGGATGAAGAGGACAACACTAACTCCATGGAGACTGCAGGTCTGGAAGAATGCCTCTTCCCTTTAACAAACACGGACCCTTCTCCCGCTCCAGAAAGCTACTTATGTGAGATGGAGAAAATCCCTTTCAGTCCAGTCCAATCTTGGCTAAAGAACAAGAGCAACCAAGGTACACTCAGCTAGACAATACTGGTAGAACTAGTGCAATGTAGAAATCCGGGGCCCATTTCTTGTTATACAGTGTGTACTCAGGTGCAGAAACCTGACTACCAACCCATGTACGCTGCCTCATTTGGAAATGGTACATTTGTAAATCATTGATGGTGTTTCCCATCTCTTTCCTGCTCATCTCTTGCATCTGTTTCAAAGGAGGAAATGTAAGTTTATGCAAGTGTGTACCATTCATAACAGATGCAATACATGTTTTGTGCTGTTTTACTCTAGAACAATGTATATTTTTAAGAAGTGGCCTGAAAGCAGAGATTCTTTTTATGAATCGTTATAGACTGCAGTTCCTGTAAATTCAGCCCCCAGGCCACTGAAATATTATTTATTTCATTCCTCTATCCCACTCATTCTCCAAAGTCCTTAGGGCAGCTTACATGGTTTCCACCCCCTTTGCATCTGTACAACAACCCTGTGAAGTAGGTTATTGTGTAAATAGTGACAAGCACAAGCTCACACTTGTCAGAGCAGGGACTATACTCATCATAGAATTATCTCTGGCTTTTTCTCATCTGAAACTGAAAGGATATCAAAGTTAAGTCACATTAAAAGTCACAATAAACCCCAGACTCTTGCTGCAGTCTCCCTTGCTGACGGTCACTGGATTTGTCTAACACTCAAGCACATTTTCAAATCACCAGCTGTGCTCACTCAGTTGCTGGTTGTTCATCCCTGGATGAATTTCTTTCTTCCAGTTTACTGAAGGAAGATCAGTCATCTGAGAAGAAACACAGCTAGAGTAACAAGGCACTGCTAGTAAGAATCAAGAAAATTTGTTTGCTTCACCTTTTAATACAAGCCAGCCTAATTCACACTTCCCAGACTAACACATGAACTGGAGTGCAATTGTCCTTTGATATTTGCATATTTCTGAATTTTGCAGTATAGTTCCCTGATTTAAAACACATGTAGAAAAATACATGATTTAAGAACATTATCTACAGAAAGTCATATATTCAGACAAGTGGCTTGCAAAAGCTGCTTGCCAGCTGAAGGGAGCATGAATGGAAACTTCCTGTATTGGCTGTTCGGAGATGGGAAAAGGAGTGGGAAACGGGAGAAAATAAGCAAGATCAAAAGCAGAACAGAGCTTTACTTCTTGAGTAACATGTGAATTCACCCTGTGGGTTTCCAAACTTGGTAAAAAGAAGAAGAAGAAGATTTGAATGGTAGGGAGCTTGACCCTTTCTCTTTCTGTGTTGGTTTCATCCCTCTCCCCAACCCTGTTTCTGCCAGGCCCCCCCACCCCCTTCTCTCCAGATGCATCCAATCCTATGCTGCCAGTACAGGCAGAGTTTTTCCTTCCAGCTGCTTCTGCTGATCAGCCAAATCAAGAGAAAACGTCCTACCTAGAGAGTCTGCCTAAAATCTCTCTGCAGGCTTCCTGGGCATCACTGCAGTCTCCAAGTGTAAATTGCTCACTTATCCACCAGGTAAGTGCTTCCATATCTACCACCTCTCTGTCTATACATAGCCAGGGGTTTTATGTTCATATGAAGATTTTTTTAAAAAACTGGTGTGAGAAAAAGAAATAGATCATAAATGCTGCACTCTTTCCTGGAAAAAATCTACAAGTATACCTGGTTATATCAGAATTAGCCTAAACAATAGAATCTAATAACTGGATGTGTCTATGCAATAGTAACATCCATGGTACTAGATATAAACCTCAAGGTTTGGGTATTAGATAAACCTGTAATAAATTATTTCCCTTGCATGCCCACACAGTGTTCAAGGTGTTTTCCTCATACTTCCTTGATTAAGCTCCCATGACTGAAGGGTCATGAAGGATACACTAGTTCAGTAGGGAGGAATTATAATGAAAAATAATTGAATGAAGAAGAGGGGTTATTTATTTACTTAATGGATACCTTGCATTCTGAAAAAGAATCTAGTCCCCACGTCTGTTCTCAAGGCTTTAAACTTTTCTATTGCAAATTGTATTCCTGCCTTTGGCTTGAAAGATAGGATCTAAATAGAATGTGTAATTCTACCCTTATTTTGGAGCTCTAAGAGAAGGTTTCTCATGTCCCAGTCTATCCTCTCTCTATTTCTTATTCATTTACGTGAGGATCCCAACCTTCCCACATACATGCATGAGAGGGAATTATTGTAGGGATTCTACTCAATCCTTCCTCTTCTTCCCTGTGGACAAATATCCTGGGCTGTTGCTGGAGCACAGCAACATGTATATCCATTGCCAATCAAGAGAGGATCTTCTAGATCTCATATACATTTATTCAGTAGCACATTCCTCCCCAGGCCTTCAGACACAGCCTACTCCCACAAATGAAAATGCCTGAAATGCCTTTGTGCCAAAAGAGGGCAGTGGGTTGATCTGTAGTGGCTGGGCACATTGATGTGACCTGTTGATGTTTCCTGATGAATTCCTATCTGGGCTCCTGCTGCCAAGGTACTTGAGTGATATAGATCATTATCCGAGTTTGCCTGAATTTCCCCTGCATTTGCTACCAATCCATGAATTGCCTGTGTGTTATTCTAACTCTGATTTGGTGGACCATCAATGTGTGTATAAGAGACACTTCACAGATTGTGAAATGAGGAGCTGTGGAGAGAAAATCTGGTAGAAAAAGGGTTTAGCAACTTGGTCCTGGCAACCATTTCTCCTTCCCAGGTCCTGTTATTTTACAGCTAAAAAACATTCTCAGACAAAAAATCTATTGCTGCATGCATAGTTGTACCCTGATGCCAGACTGCAGTCTTTTCTCTGTCAAGTGCCACATTCCTTCATAGGCCATCTGTTGGTGACCACAGGTCAGTAGTGATAGACAGGTCTGGGGCCAATGCTGGGTGGGCCACGTCTTTTCTTTCTCTTCCCTCTGCCCTTTTCTCCCTCTCTCGCCCAGTATGTGACTAGGGAAGGGACGGGTAGCTCTTGCCATATCCCCGAATGGATAGCGTGCCAAGAGCATTTGAAATTAGGCTGAGTGCCAAAGTTGTCCTCACCTGCCTTACACACAGAACACACATGAAGTCTGTTGTTGTTGTTTACCTCTGAAATTCTGATAGGCCAGACTAAAAAGCTATAAAGACAGGGAGATGCCCCAAGGGAGATGAAAAATGTAGAGCCACCCAAATGGCAAAATATTTTTTTCTCATATACAGAATACTAAAATAGCAATGATATTGATTGACAGTAAAGGAGAGTCAAAATGAAACATTGGCTCTTTACAAAGTGCATTTTTATCCTTAACAAATTAATTAACCTTAATTTTAACCTTCCCACTGGGTTATAGATCATGTCCCTTTCCTCTCACCCAGTTTGATAACGGCCAAGACATTCTCTGCTTCTCTTGTTGCCTCTTGACCCTCAGACCACAGAGAGTGACACCTCCCTCGACGACAGCAGGAGCAACAGCTCAGAAGGCAGCTTGCAGACCACACTGGAGGACAGTTTAAATCTCAGTGACTCTCCCCGGTGTGCACTGGACCTTCCAGTTGCCCTCTGCCCAGTGCCAGCAGCAGCCTCCCAAAGAGCCTTGATGGCACCCCTTTCTCCTGCTTCTCGGAGGCAGAGCTTGAGGGGGCGCGGGATCTTCACTCTTCGGAACATCCGGCGGCACCAACGGAGCCACAGCAGTGGAGGGAGCACTAGCCCAGGCTGCACGTATCATGACTCCATGGACCCTTCGGATGAGGAGGGTGCAGGGAGTAGCCTAAGGGGCGGGGGCACCAACAGTGAGCCGTCAGAGACCCTTAGCAGCCTCTCTCTGACATCCCTCTTCTCGCCACCCCCTCCACCCCAAGGCCTGGCACTTGCGAAGAAGTGCAATAGCACCAGCAGTCTCCACGCCAACCCTTCTTTGCAGGGCTCTGCTGCAACTGAAGCCAAGCAGTTCTACTCGGTCGACCCACGGGGCTTTTTGTCCATGCCCTCGTGGGTGACAGACTGCAAAAACAGTCCTTCTCTGAGGGAAGGTGGTGTACGAGAGGGCTCAGACAAAATTGGGACTGCAGATCACAGCTCTCCAGTTCCTTCTGAAGTGCAGCTGGGGAGAGGCATCAGCAAGAAGAACAGATGAGTCTCCCTTGGGCAGGGAGGAAGAGTGAAACGTGAGCAAGGGAGTGTGTTTTGCCCATCATTTCCTAACAGCAGTTCCAAGTGGGAGGACTGTGGAAAAGGAAAAACAACCAAGCAAAATATAAATATGTACGTCCCTGTGTGCTTGCGTATGTATGTATGTGTGCGTGTGTGTATGTGTGGAAAACAAAGACTTTTGTACCATACCTCAGAGACATGAGAGAGCGAAAGCAATACGTGAACACCCCACCCATGCATGGGACCACCGATTCTGCAGACCACAGTGGGCTGAGGGAACTGAAAGATAATGATGCTGGGTTAAGAGGGTGATGAGTCTCCAGCCAAATATCTGGCTGGATGCAGCCGTTTACTCCTCTACATAGACAAATATATATGTACAGATATATAGAATGATTTATTTATTTTTTTTACGGAAAGCTTAGGACTTCTAGAAAGTGCTGAGTGTGAAAAGGGCAGGGTCTTAGGGAAAATGAATTTCAAAATGAAATGAAGAACCAAGCTGGGTTTTAGAGCTTGGGTATTTTTGTCAAGGAAAATTGTATTGTTCATGCTTCTATATGGAAAAATTAAGAAAAAAAAACTGTTATCTAGAAGAAAGGAGGGTAGGGGCAAGTAGATGTGTGAAGATGCTTCATGGAGTTGCTTGGATGGAATACAACAAGATTTGCAGCTGAAGTTTGTCCTCTCAGAATAACTGAGCTCCTCAGGTAGAATCAGTGAAGCTCCTTAACTGATAACTCTGAGGATCCTGCTTATCCAACTGAAAAGTCTAGGTGGGCCATGGAGCACTGAATGCTAGAGACAATTGCTTTTTAAAAAAAACTCAAATGCAACAACAACAAGAAACCACATGGCAATTACCAAGTGGTCTGATTCTCATCGATTTGCCCCCCACCCCCCTTTTTTGTTTTGTTTTGTTTTGTTTTGGTGAGAAAGAAAACTGCTTAGGGGAAATGACTCTGTATTGTTAAGAGTTTGGGGTTTATAGTTTATTTTCCTTACCATTCAGTACTTGTGAAGAATCTATTTTAGAAGCCCAGAGATGCAAAAATCATCTCTAGAGAAAGGTATGCTATTTTTACAAATATATTGAAAGGAAAAAATAAAATAAAATTCATGATAATAAGCAAGAGGAGCAGAGTGAGTCTGAAATGGAATGCATAACTAACTGTGTCCAAGCTAGGGCTCATATTTCAACATACACTAATTTACTGCAGAGAAATCCTTAGAGAAGACTGTGAGCCTTGCTCCACCCTGATGCTTTTTACGGCATTGCAATTTAAGTCATGTGGTGGCTCTTGGATCGTGTCTGATGAGACTTCTCTAGCCATTCTAAGAATTCAAAGCAATTAGCACCCGTTGGCTTTAACAACAGAAGTTGACAATGACGGCCAAAATACTAGTGGTTTGACATGGCAATGTATGTTTTTAAAACTATAAATAGCTGGAGGGAAAGCAGGATTGGGACCATGATATATTGGAAGAGGGCTTAACCCATTGCTCCAGCAACACAGTCCTAGCAAAAATCCTCTCCAACCTCAGAAGCTGCTGTTAGACACAGGGAGGAAGGTCCCAGTGGCAGCCTTCCTCCCATTCCAATCAGCGGCTTTAAGGGGTAATTTTCATCTAAAGGAGGAAAGAGGTAAACTGCCTCACTACATGCTGCCCTTTCAGTCATGACTGGACCTCACAGGGACTGCTGCTTTAAAGGATACATGCAGTGACAAACAACATGGTTGCTGTTTTGTGTAGTTTGGCCTGAGTGAGAGTGTGAATGTGTGTATGTACCTGTGTATATGCAATACAATGAGTTATGTATTGATCGGTGAATAGTTGAAAGGGTTGCTGCTCACCCTTTCAGTGCTTTGTAAATGGAGGGTGGATTGATCACCAGGGAGGTTCAGGTGATTGAATGACTGGGAAGATGAGATGTGCTCAGTCATACACAGGGATCACTCCCAAAAATCAAACAAACAAATAAAACCAGTCACCATCTCTCTCCCTATAACACATTCCTAGTGACAGTCCCTCTTTCAGGGTGCCTTTTGATCCAGTCTTACTTTTTCCACCACCATGCAAGCCCTCTACCTAGAAGACTGGTTTCTGGAAAGTATATATGATTGTTTTTTATTTTTAAACCAGGGATAGGGCATTCAAAGATATAACTTGAAGGAAAGTTTGCCAGCTAACCAGAAAAAGCAACCAGGCAGACTCATATGCCTTTCACAGTAGCATAATGCACAGACATCAACAAGCAAAGCTTTTCACAGCATGGCGGTGAATGGTTTCCCCTGTCTGTTGCAGCAGATCAATGTAGCAATGTATCATTGCAGATCAACTGTTAAAGGCACATCTACAGGGTCTGGTTGAAAAGTTGGCAATCAACTTAAAGGGCTTCGTGGGGGGAAATAACTGACAGAGGGAAATAAACCCCTTACCTTCCAATATGTTCCTCTTTGGTGAGAGATGTAGTCCCAGGAAGGGGAAGGGGGAATGCTTATCCTCAGAAATGAACTCTCCCCTGCTGGATGGAGTGGGCCACACCTGCCTCTGTGGACCCCTTCTGCATATTTGGGCCCAAGGTCTTTTTAATGGCCCTGACTGCAGCCCAGAGACTGAACAAGGACAGAGTGCTGCTGATTTGTATGTCAAAATAGCTGTTTTGGCCTATATATAATGAGGCAGTAAATACCAAATGTGTCACACTGGACAGGAGATGGGGTTGTGGTGCATTCATCTTTTGACAAGTAATGTATGTTTTTTTAAGTACAAAAGCTGAACTGAGCAGTGTCTATTGCTCCAGGAGACAAGAGAGCAGGAGTCCCCACTGCTTCAGAGAAGTCACTGGTCTGCATCAATAAAGCAATAATAGCAGTCTTAATTTTAAATGTTTATGTTTTGTGTGCTAATGTATGGCATGCTTCCTGACTGTTCTTTCTGAAGCAAGAGTGTGTGGTGGGCAGAGAAAAAACAGTCTCTGGAAAGCCCATGCTCTCATCTGCTAGAGGAAGGAAGCCGTCCCCATAGAAACATTATAATCAGAGGCTGAAATTGATAGAATCAACTTGGTTACAACCATTCCGACTCAAGGCCATGCTGAGCCCAATTCATTCTGTACACCATGGACTTTATGGCCATTTGTACTAATTGCAAAGAAATCAGATGACACCTTCAGCTCCAATGCAAAACAAAAACAAAAAAAACCACACAAATGCCATATCCCTTTACACTGCCTGCCATAACAGTTGTCTGAACCTATTCCCAAGGTAAGGGATCTTACATCCCTGCTGGAATCTGCCTATGCAAATTCTTTGAAAATCCAGTGGGTAACTCAATCCAATACAACATTTGCACATATATCTGTGCACAGGATCATTCCAGTATCCCATGGCATGAACCTAACATTTGATACTGAAATTGTACTAAGATATACTTGAAAAATGAAGAGACCAAAACAAAAAAGTCCATTCCCATGCAAAGGCAACATATGCAGTTTGTTACAACTGTGCCCCCAGTTACTTCAAATATGGCCTCACATGATAATAAAGTGGACTGGCCACAGAGCCTATGGAAAACAGAAAAGAAAAAAGTGCTTCCTTGACCCTTGTGCCCACCAATTTGTCCCTGCATTTGTGTTGGGAGTTCTGGATGTGTAGTTCTGCCCCAAGAAATACTACAAAGAGCAGGATAGGGTTCAAACCTGCAGCTCTTTGAATCCAATATTATGCATTTTAATAAAAAGTCTCATTCCCTAATGGTACTGAGGTGAGTCATCAGCCCTCATGTTTGGGAAAGTAGCATCTCAGATTTGTCTTTAAAGATGACAAATGGAGGGGCTTTCTTTGAAACACACACTTCCCCTACCTGGTCAACATCACAGTTGTTTGGTTCAAAGCTTGGCAATCCACACATTTTTGACAAAAGTGTTGCTTTTCTCCCTTTCTTCTTTTCCAGTCAAGGACTGGTCTGGGACAATTTGCACATTGCTTGAGAGTTTTCTTTTCGACTGGCTCCAGTGATTGCCAAGCCTTAATAGACCTTTTGCATATATATATACCTTCCATTTTCAACAAATCCCTCTCACAGGGAGTTCCTGCATTAAGGAAACTGCTTTCCCAAATGTGAAGATACTCTCCCTTTTGAGAAATCTGCAGCTAAAACCAATATCCCTTCCTTTACAGTAAAAGTGCACAGGAGTGCCACCTCAGTGTGCAAGTACCTGGCAAGATGTAATAAAACTGGTTAAAGTGCAAATACAGGGACAAAGGAGGAACTATTTTGTTGCAAAACCTGTTATGAATCTACAGTCTCTGTGCTGGCCTTCACTGAAGGAGAAATTCTCTCTCTCCTCTTCGAAGGTGCTTCTGCCAACTCATTCACTACAGTATACAGAACCTGGCTGATGTTTGACTTGATTTCATAACAGCACAGATACCTGCAAATACCATTCTTCCTTCAAAAAGTGGATCCTTTAGTTGTATTTTCATTTCTCTGTACATGTGGAAAGTCTTCTGGCCTAGGAAAGAGTTACCATGACAACTGAGCATGAGATTAACTATAGAGAATATTTTGCCTCTCCCTTTTAATTATTTACTAATAGCTTTGAAGAAGAAGAGGAAACCAATTCTTCCCAAAGAGTGAGTTGCAGAGGCACACCAGAATTGATTACATTTAAGATCAAAGTGAGGGTTATGCTCTGTATTTGAAGGTATCTGTTTATGCCTGGTTGGTTTTGCTTTCACCAAGGCTGTCTTGCCCAGTCCCTTTTGTGAGGAATCACAGGAAGATGCAGCCCCCTTGTTTCTGTGCTCATGTGGGATTCCCCCCACCCATGTGTCAAAAGGATGGAAGAATGTCTCAGTGGAATTTCAACCCCAGTCATGTGAGGTAAACAAACTATAGGCGAGAATTGCTCTTTGTGTAGGACATTTTGGACATTAAAGTGTTGACTTTTGACAAGAATTACTGTGGTGTGATGTTGTTTCTCCTGCACTCCAGTCAAGAGCTTATTACTGTTCCTCCACTGAAATCATAGTTAGTACAGATAAATAACTACTATACTTTACTTCCAAGTGGATAAGGAGCCCTTTTCCCCCAGCCAATTATCATAGGTGGGAACTATCCTCTTGAGCCATGGAAGTGAAGGCTTCTGAGTCGAAGTATAACCTCTTTTTGGATGGGATTGGGGCCTAATACAAAGCCTTTTCTGATGCGAAAACAAAAAAGTTATAATTTTTCTTAAGAAAAACAAATAAGAAAAATTATGATACCTTTTTTGTTTTCCAGTTAACAGTGCTGGGACTGACAGAAGAAACTAGTCATGGCAGGTTTAGATTTGAATAATATAGATGCAAATATCCCCAACATAAAAATATTAGAATAAGCAGGATGCTGGTATCTTTGAGAAAAGGTTTGTTTGTTTTTTCCCCAGACAAGAGATCTTCCACTAACTTCAGCAGGGCAAGAATTTTGATGGTGGACTGGTTCAGAAATAGGAAGTGTGGGCAGGGATCAAGGCAAATCAGTAGTTTAGATGCTCAGACCACTTTCTACCTAATGCCTTGAGGTGCTATGTACCTTTACGTCCCATTTAGGTCAATAATATTTGACATTTTGTGCATTGTGGCAAGAAACACTTAACACTTCACAATGCCAGATCTCTTCAGTTCTCACTTTTTGCTCATGGAAAGGCTTTTAGGAACAGGCTTATTGCTCTGTCTTCAAACTGGAAACTAGATTTCATTCACACTAAATGTTTAATATACCATGAAGAGTAGCCTGCATATGCTACATTTGCACTTCAAAAATCAGCAGAAAGTAGAAGAGACAGCATTTTTGTGCCAACCTTTCCACCTTGAGGTCATTTCCCCCAATTTCTCTGGACCAAGGGGATTCTGCCTATTTTCTGAGAAAGAAGGACACTTTCTAATGGTCTGCAGCACTGCAGGATCTCACCTAAAGCACCACATATGTCTATATCAAAGGGTTGCACTCCATAATGTGGATAACAAGACAAGGAGGCTGTTTCTCAAAACTGTATACACATTTCCTGTAATCTCATCAAGATCTGCCTCAGGACTGCTGAAGCAAGATAACCGAGAAACACCAAGGAACAAGACCTACGACTCAGCA